ATGCCAATATTTTTCAAGTAAACATTTGACTAAGAGTACAAAATAGAGGTATCTGGCCGGAGCCTACCCATTAACTGTTCGCCTCTTGGCCGGAACTTCATTTATGGACAAATCATGGATTCAATCGGGGTCATACATTATTTCGCAAGACAATAGCTTAAGCCGTTGTGTTTTACATTTGAAAACAGCGTAACAATGTGTTACACAACGCCCAATATATCCCACCAAGGGAAGTTTTCAAGCACATCGACCAGAAAATTCGAAACACCATAACGTCAAGAAGACATCGGAAGCACTAGAGAAAACTTAAAGCAACTTTAAATTAGATAACAACACCAAAATCTATTCCAATATTATTATAATATTGTCTTTACTTTTTTTTTTGCCAAAATTATTTTATAATAGATATGGCTATCTTGTAACACCTCATATACTTATTTTCTAGATGATATTAGTTTTTTAGCAAAAAAGGAAAAAGAAAAATTGAGGTATCATAAATCTTGACCAAGAAAAAAAAAAGATAAGTTACTGAATAAGTTTGATCAACGAAATAAAATAAAATAAAATTATCGAATAGACCTCCATCTTAAACTGCGTAAAATTTGTTTTTGATAGGAAAAAACCGAGAAAATTACAAACACACAAGTAATTTAAAACGCAATAACCAGTATTGACCGATGCATTGAACCAACAGTGAGAGAATTCGTTGGATTGGGAATTTGGGACTCAATGAACGCCGCACGATTAATTAGATTTATTTAATTAAAAATCAAATAAGATTAAATGTACGCCGTACATTTTAAAATTTTGTTAATATTTCCCCCCACGTGAATGATCTTATCCAAAATCACTGACAGATATGAATATTTTTTGTAGCACCAATTTTCTTTTCAATTTTGTAATTTTTGTGTATTGTGAATATGGACAAGAAGACGTTGTTTAATATACTAAAATACAATAAAAACCACATACAAATAGTTTCATTTCTTTATCAAATTAGTTTCATTTGATTGATATGCAATAATTAACATTTTACTATTATTAATTTTAAGATTTTTTAAAAATCTAATCGGTGAGTAAAAAGAATTGTTTAATTATTAATTAGTTGGATTGTAATAATGGCATGAGTCTAGCTGGGTAGCTTCCTGTCTTTTGCTCACGCCTAACTGGAGCCGCACGTGCTCCGACCACCAAA